CTGTGCTGACAGCTCAGAGCCTGGAGCCTGCTTCGCATTCTGTAACTCCCTCTCTCTACCCCTCCCCCGCTTGCACTCCGTCTCCCTCTCTCTCAAAAATAAATAATAAACATTAAAAAAAGTTTTTTAAAGGAATAGGATGTTTTAAATGAGAGATCATGAAACATAGTGTCAGATCTGTCTCTACCTTGAGAACTGCCTTCAAAGCCCCAGAAGAAAGATTCTGAAAACCTTCAATGAGATCATGCAAACAAGACACCTATCCAACACCAGAAGTATAAAATACCGTCAACAAATAGAAGCTATAATCCTCGGGGCATCTGGGTGACTCAGTTAGTTAACCAGCTCTTGGGTTCATCTCAAGTCACAATCTCATGGTTTGTGAGTTCGAGCCCTGCATCAAGCTCCATGCGGACAATGCGGAGCCTGCTTGGGATTCTGTCTCCCTCTCTCTCTGCCCCTCCCCCCACTCAATCTCTCTCTCTCTCTCTCTCTCTCTCTCTCTCTGTCTCTCACTCAAAATAAATAGACTTAAAAAAAAACCTATCATCATCATCCTCAATGGTAGCATATCTCATTTGCAGAGGGTAATTTTTATATTTGATATTTCAGGATGGCCAAAAACCATTTGGGACTAAGTTTGTATACGCAGATAAAGCTTGCTTCGGGTGAAAATCTAGTCTCCTCCTGTTATTTATAAACGTCTTATGAAAGGAAGTCTCGAGGAAGTGTGAATTTTGTTCTGAGCAATGATGGTACTGTCTGAAAAGAAAGGCACCAAGAGTTTCTTGATCTGACCCCCTCAGCTTCCACAACCTTTTGCACATCTGCCAGGGCTGACACAATCATCACTCGGGAATGCGCGTTTCTCCAAAAATGAGTTTTTCTTTTTTAAACTCAAGACATGCCTCACACACACCGTCAGACGATCGAATGCACAGACACACTGCCATTGGAGCCACGTAAGTAAACACGGTGCATCTTAGCTTCTGGAGATTCGTGAAAATCAATGATCCAATCATCTGCACCCTCTATTCGACGACACTCTACCGTAAGATACCACTGCCAAGTTAAGACTTCAAAGGTGGGGCCAGAAACCTGGATCAGTACTTTCTAGACTAAAGCACTAAGTTATAAGGCTTGACGGAAGGTGAAGGATTTAAGCATAAGGTAACAGCTTCGGCTCTGCCCTCCACACTGACGCTGAGGCCTGTGATGACCCTTACCTGCAAGTGAACAGGGACAAGGGGCGGGGGGGACCAAGGAACAGGAATTGAGACTGCTCCTGTCACCGGTAACCCCAGTTTGGGCACCGCAGGCCTGGCAGGGGCTCCAGGCAAGTTTCAACATCCACGCCTCAGTTTCGTGGCCCCCCAGGGCAGGGGAGGTGACCCGCACCCCAACCACCTCCTGCAAAAGGCCGCTCGGACTGACGTCCTCACACGCACAGATGCACACCTACCAGAACGCCCGGCCACAGAGGCTCACGTTGAGAGGAAAAGCAGCTTTTCCTTTATCCAGCATGCACCCACTGCAAAGTTCAGAGTCACAAGCACGGGCAGGCTAGAGACTTACCTATAGGAGCCTGTAGCCACGCGAATGCCATCAATCAGTGTGAACTTCTCATGAACCTGCCCAACTATCTTAGTCCCCGACCTCGCATAGTAAGTGTTTCCGGTAATAGTCCGGACGGTCATCAGCTGTCGGCGGGGAACGGGGGAAAAAGAAACACACAGGCCAGTGAGCAAACGATAGAGGGCTTGGTCTACAGTTCCCGAAAAGACGCACTAGGTGGCAAAGGAGTGGTCCCCCGTCCCCTTTGGTAACGGCACACATGCACACTAGCCAGTGGTTCTCGGGACTCGACGAATGTCACTTCATTTGGTCCATCTTCTCGTGTGCCCTGTTCTCACACGGACTTGTGAGACTCTTGGTTCACGGGTACATGTGCTCTCAAAGAAGAGCCACTCGTTCTTTGACACGACAGAATCCAAGAAATGACATTGAAACAGAATGTGGGGGATAAAATCAGCAAAGAAAACACACTAATAATAAATAGCATGTTAACGAAGGCTTAAGGAAGCTAAGCTGATATTTCTCCTACTTTCTTATTTGACTGCATCAGTAATGACTAACAGCCCACCCTCACTTACCCCCATGCCATCCTCAGTATGGGGAACAGGACGAGCCTTCTCTAACACGGGACCTCTGAGGCTGGCACACATCACATGTGGCTTCACCAACAATGTCACATCTACGAATTTATCAAAAAGGTACTCTGGTAATACGCTGGGGCCCCACAGTGCGTAATCATCCTTGTAAAATGACCCGCATAAATGTATATCCGATGGTATGTAAAACAGACGATCTGCATTATTTGGAGCAAATCAGGACAGCATCAGCTTTATGCCTTTAGAAACCTTACACAATTCAAATTAAATGCTTAAGATTTTTGTTTGATTCTCTCATTCATTCCATAAGCAAAGAAAGTCCCTACCGTGTGCTGAGCCTTGAGACAATAGGGGGATCAGGCATGTTCCTTACCTTTAGGGACTAAGGGAGAGAAAAGTAATGCGTGATTCAAAAAACAAGGTATGACATCATCCAGAGAAGTGAAAACCTACATCCACACAAAAACCTGTGCACAAATACAGCAACTTTATTCATCATAGTAAGAAACTGGAAACTATCCTAAAGTCCTTCAGCGGGTGAACAGTTCAACTGTGGCACAACCACACCACATGACACTCCTTAGCAGCAGAAAAGAACTAACAAGTGATACAATAATTTGGATGGATCTCAAGCGCCTTATGCAGAATGAAAAAAGCCAATCTCAATAGGTCATATACTATATGATTCCATTTATAGAACGTTCTCTAGATGACAAAATTATAGAGATGGGGAATAAATTACTGGTTTCCAGGGGTTAAAAACGAGGAGGAGGGCACAGAGAGGAGCGCAGATGGGACCATAATGGGAGCAAGGAGATGGTTGTGGTGATAAAATAGTCCTGTATCCCGACAGTGGTGGGACAGTTCTGGATCCTGATGGCAGGGGGGGTTCCATAGGTATACACATGTGATAAAAATGGCATAGAACTGTCAACACATGTTGTGCCAACCCCAGATTCCAGGCTGTGATTTTGTACTAGAAGTCACATAGGATGTAACCATTGGGAAAACCGGGTGAGGGACACATGGAAACCTCTATGTATGACCTTTGCAACTTCTGTGAATCTGTTGTTCCCTTTTTAGTTAAAAAAAAAAAAAAAAAAAGAATTGAGAGAGAGACGGAGCATGAGCGGGGAGGGGAGAGAGAGAAGGAGACACAGAATCCAAAGCAGGATCCAGGCTCTGAGCTGTCAGCAGAGCCCGACGCAAGGCTCGAACTCACAAACTGTGAGATCATGACCTGAGCTGAAGTCGGACACTCAACCGACTGAGCCACCCAGGCGCCCTGAACCTACTGTTCCTTTATAATAAAAACATAAGACAAAACAAAAACACCATGGCATGATGTAACATCACTTCCGTGGTCTTACCAAAACACAATCTGAATTTAGCCACGAGGAAGCATCAGACAAATCCAAATCCTACAGAAAACTGGCTAATGTTCTTCCAAAGCACCAAGACCCTAAAAGACAAAGACAGACAGAGGAGCAGCTCCAAATGAGAAGACGCTAAGGAGATAGGACAACTCAATGCAAGATTCGGTCCTGGGTTGGATCCTGAATAAGGAAAAGGGCATTCGTGGAATGATCAGTGAGACTTAGAAGGTCTGTAAATTATGGTATTATATCAAATTTATTTCTCAATTTTGAAATTTGCACAGAGGTTTATAAGACGTTAACATTTAGATAATTTGGGCAAAGAGTATTCAGGAACTCCTTATATTATATCGCTAATTCCTTTGAAAATCCCATTATTTCAAAATAAAATTAAAGAAACAAACAAAGAAACTAGGACCTTCCACAGAGGTGCACCCGGAGCAAGGTGGGGCAGGGGGTTCCTGGAGGAGATACCGATTCCTGACCCAGGTTTCAAAGGATCCACATATAATAGCAAGCATTCAAAAATGTCACTGTGGGCACATTTAGGTGTAGTTTTCTGCATCTTTTCCGTCGGTGCTTACCTAAATGTCGTACAGGCCTCTGTGACTGCAGTCAAAGCGCTTTTGAGGGCCTACGCACAAACATGTGACCAAGTGCCTACAGACAGGACACCCAGCATCCAGAACCAGCCACAGAGCGAGGGCATGGCAGATGTCAGCCCCCACTGGGGGAGGGTACAGACTCACCAACAGACACGTCCTGGTGAGAGAAGCCGCCAGGGAAGACGGTGCTGCTCTAGGAAGAAGTCAAAGCACTACAAAAATTGGAGCGCCTGGCTGGCTCCGTCAGTACAGCATGCGACTCTTCATCTCAGGGTTATGAGTTCGAGCCCCGTGTTGGGTGCAGAGATTACTTAAAAAAAACTAAAATCTTAAAAAAAAAAAGACACTACAAGAACTGCTGAGGCCAAAGGTACAGACTTCCTTTCGACTCCTCCTCGAGGCAACAGTCAACACTGTGCAAGCGAGTCGGTAAATAATGCTGGATTGGATAACTGGATCGTCTCTAAGCCAATCTCACGATCAGAGTTGTGGCCAGAGCCACTCTGTGATTCTCCTGCTGCTGGCACACAGCCGTCGTTGCAGAGAGAGCCTCAGAGTCAAACAGCACATCTTCCATCGCTTCCCCTGGCTCTGTGTAAAAGCAGTCACAGGCTGAATGTCTGCGTGCTTTTCCACGCTGACATGCATTTGCCTTGGGTCCCCCTGACCTTGTACTTTAACCGAGTGCGGGTCACACGGCTGGCTCATTTCATCCTGGCTCCAAGCTCCGATTCTACCTCCGCCAGGAATTGGCTTTGTAGTGGCCGTGATAAGTTAGCAACAACCTGATCCTCGGTTTCCCCATTCGGGAAAATGACCACCAAGAACTCTGTGGGGGAAGTCGAATAGCCAAATTTTGTAAACCAAATTACTTGACAACGGGGGGCGGGGGGGGGGGGCG